GACAGACCAGTCAAACGCATCTCTGCACTGGTAAAACTGGCACCTGAAGCTTACTACCAGAGTACTTCAGGCTTACTCTGGTAGCCTGAAGTCAACACACCCTTCCTTCCCCTCCGTGTCTGCTACCACGGAAGGACGGCATCAAAAGAAGAGAAAGAGGCCAAAAGAGGAATTTGTATTTGCATTCACTTTCCAGTCCTGCTGCAGCAAGGCTGAGCATCTTACAGTTTTTCTTACAGTAAATCTGAGTGACTCAAGACATGAAGTAAGATAAGAGCATAGGCTATGCCCTCAAACCTCAAACTGTCCTTCCAATAAGGAAAAGGAAATAGCTGCCAGACTTCTTAGGGGTGGAGTAAGAGGTTGAGCCCAGAACACAGCACTAGGAGGGACTTCCCACCCCTACTCTAGATGACAGCATATCATCACAAGCATACATTTATGAAATTCCTTCCTAAATCCCCTAGGACTCGTCCTAGAAAGCTCCTTCTGAACCCCTGGCCAGCTTCTGCCTGTTGCCTCCTCTCCTCCCATCCTGTAGAGCACTTTTAGAAAGCAGTCGTGTCAGTTTTCAGCTAACTGAATGTTGAATGACCTCAGCTCCTCTGGTCTCCTCTAGTAGAAGCAATGTTTTCCTTTCCCTCCTTGTCCTTACAGCTCCTGCCCGCATCTTCTGCCATTTGAAATACCCCTTTTCCCTCCCACCCCCCCAAACCGAGGAAAATTAGGATATGTACAACTGACAGAAGTCATACTAAAAGTATTTCCAATGAACTTTGTATACTTCTTATTGGCAAAATTGCTGAAAGCAAAGTGAAACAATGAAACTGCAGCACTTGTCGGATAAATGGCATTTCATTTTCTTTTGAAGAAAAAGACTATGGTCTTTGACCAACACCTTCCATCAGGATATAAAAGAGTTTCTCTGAAGGAGAGACTGTTCTTCCTTAAGCTAGGCTGCTGCAATTCCACCTTTCTGCCTGTTTGGGGTGTAAATTACACCCACCTGCTGCTGAGGAAATTTAGTAGCAAAGCCATTTCTTCCCAATAGCCCACTGGCACTGATACACATCTCTCACAACATTTCCTAATAGATGGGAAATTTAATACAAAACTTAATACTAATATAACATTATGATTGAAAGTAAGGGAACTGGCACATCAGGGAACTAACATCTATATTTTAAGAAAAAAAGAATTTGTTCATGTTGTAAGTAAAGTTTATTTCTGTTCCTTTTTCTATTCCTTGTTAGTAGTAAATATGAATGCACTACTCTTAAATTGATGAGTGCACTGTATAAAATTCACTGTCAGAAACTGTAACCATTTATGACCTTATTGTTGTCCTATCCTGCAAACTTGACTGACAAGAACTTCAAAACGACAGCAGCAAAACAATCTACATCTTCTAAAATACACCGTTTTGCCATAACCTATTGTAGTAAATAGTCAATAGTATTCTAAAAATATGTTTTTTCCCATAATCCACTGTAACAAATAGTCAATAATACAACTGAGCCTTTTCAATTTGATCCACAAAGGGGTTATGATGGAAGTATACAAGACTTTGTTCATTATTATAATACACAGGATACAAATTACGATTAATGTCTGAGTCAATAAGAGGTATAATTGTCAGAATGAAATTATACTTTAAAAGAATAAAATAAGTATTTTTGAATTACATAAATTATTGAACTGAAAGAAACCAGAGAGACCCACCATGTGAACCTCAAGAACAGTTTCGGAAGCGCACAATAACCAACATGTACAATCAGGGTATTAGATTCAGGGATTGCCATTTTTATAGGAATATTAAACAAAAAGCATGGCTACTATTCCATCTGTTTACATCATTCCATTTCTTTCAGCAGGGTAAAACAAGCAGAAGTGAGCTTAACCTTTGTTTCAAGTTGCTATTTATCTATTTTATAAAGGTTCTCATGCAGCAACATGGAATTTGTCTGTGAAAAACTGTTAACAGTGTATGTTTTGAATCTTGGGGTTCATATAAAGAATGTAAAATCTTGCTTTGACATAAGGTACAGCTAAGGATACATTCGACCTAATACAGCTCACCAAAATGTGAACTACCAAGCTCTTCTAATTTAATTTTCAACCTTAAAATTTCAGTAATGTTAGTTCCATTCTTAATATAAATATTAAACATAAAAGAAACTCTGTTTTTACTGAAAAAGCACAGCCTTGTTACATAGAAGCTTATGTTTCACAACTTTATAATACAACAAGCTGCAGCTAGTGGTGTCAACATATTTTTATCATCTTCCCTCCAGAGATTTTCTTTCTCTTTTCTTTTTCAAATAACAACTGCCTGAAAAGTTTCTTTATCTGTAAACGCCAAGAGCTAAATATCAGAAAAGATCAAGGACTCTGTAGGCCCAAATCTCCACTCAGATGTGCATGAACTCTTGTTCTAATCAGCTGCACCTGCTTTTCTGGAGACTGAAGGTGACCTTTAATTTTAGAAGAAACCATGACAGTGCTGCTGCTTTGAATTGTGGAAGCTTCTTGCGATATGCAAAATTTACTAAAACTCAGTGTTTGTCAACCTATTAGTATATCTGGAAAAGTCCTTTCAGTAGAGGAGTTTCAATATTTTCAGATTCCTTTTAAACATTAATGTCACTATGTCAACCATTGACTAATTTAATATTAGTATTAGAAGCAATAATGTATTCTATATCAAGTCTTCAAAAGCATATGGTACTTAGAAATGTAAGATAACTTCCTGAACATTAGCAAAACAATAAAATTGCAAAAGGTTAAAGTTGCACTTTCATACCAAGACATCCAAACTGCCTTACCATCGCTCTTGTTGAAATACTCTAATAGAAATCAAAATCTTGTGCTACCGTATTTACTCCCAAGAATCTCAGTGTTTGTGATCACAAAGCATAGAAAAATTTAATCTTAAATCATATATGCCCCTGTTTAGAAAAGCACAGAAATAATCAATTTAGTCTCCTTCTATGCAGAATTACATGATAGAGAGTCACATTTCCAAACAGAGAAACAACATTTTGTGAGCATTATGTCTTCAGTATGGATCTGATCCCAAACACCTACCCAGACAATCAGGTCTTCAGAAGACTCATTTGGAGAGTGCACAGCATACCTATTGTATGACAGCCAAGTGTGACTAGCCAGACTAATAGAAACAAACTCCCTAATGCCTACATCATTAATTATATCAGAGCAATAATTAAGTTACTCCTTGCTGCTTTGATGTAAGACAATAGAAGAGCAATGACAAAGTCTGATAAGAAATGAGAAACACATTCACCAGAGACACAATGGACAGACCAGTGCTAGAGCAGTATGATTAGCTCTTCTTGCTGGCATCAGAGACAATGAGATCTGCACTGAGGCAGTCCTAGCCCAAGGGGACAGGTGGACATTTTCACCCTGTACTCCCAAATCAAGCTTAACATCCTCGTGTGACTCAATTCATTTCCATCATGCTCAGGTTTTCAGGAAGACAGGAGACCATCAGCCTTTGAAACTGGATTTCCCTAGCAAAACTCTGGGATGCAAAATACTCTGTTGTTTGCACTTACTTGCACATGGTGGCCCTGAATAAAATGAAAGAACATAGGGACCATGGTCTGCTGGGGTTGGAGCTCCAACGTAACATCCCTAAAATACCTAAGGCACTGAGCCTGAAAGCTGTCCAAGTGAGGTAGGGAAGTAGCCATCAAAATGAGCTTGGATGAAAGACATCATGCAGCTTCCACCTCCCCCTCAAAGAAGATACAATCATCATCTACATGTTCATAGTTAAGCAGGTAATGAATGGCAGAACAAGCAGAAATGGAATACAAAATGCTTTAAACGTACTAAAAGCCCAAGTCAGGTGTGACTTTTGCATATTCCTTTTGAGAGTTACAGTAAAGAACCTACAGTGTGGTCTACGGGGAATCTGGTGAGATGTCCTTCATTGGCCAACCACAAAGGTAAACTCTGCAAGAGAAAGGAGGGAGCTACCCCACATCTCCCTAAGGACCTTGCAGTGGGCTCTGGCTCACCACAAACCTAGAACCATCTCCACTACAATGGTCGCTTTGCAATATGGATATACACAGCCTGCAGTCAAAAGGTATAAATGAATGCCCACTGGATAGCATTGATATTTGAATTTAAGAACAAAACTGTTCGGCTTTCGTAAGCTGAAGATGTGTCTGTATTCTCGTTTCTTGTTGATACTAGAAGAAAGAAAAAGGAAGCACTGTAAAACCTTTCTCCTCCTGAAGTACAAGGAAATCATTGTATGATGTTAGAACTGGAAGTCTATCTACATCTCAACAAAAAAGAAAGGCGAGAAAAGATGCTGAAAGGTACAGAATACACAGATTGGAAGGTGCCCAAACCAAGCCCAAAACAGAGCAGATCCCGAACAACCTGTCCCTAAGTAACTAAAAGGAAAGGGATGTCAAAACTTGATGAGGGAAGAAAGGGATTTGCTCACACGTCACAGGCTCACTTTCAGAGGTGTTGTTCAAGACAGGGGTTGTAAAAAAGAGAACCATTACAGCTCCCTCCTACACTAGTGCTGTTTATGGCAGCTCTGAAACTACATTGTCACAACTCCAGCTGAAGTCTAGAAGTAGAGGGAAATCCCTGGAAAACAGGCCTCTTTTTGGATGCTGGAAGGAATATTCAGAATTGGCTAAATGCCACTTTTGAATCTTTGAATGAATTTTGGGTCCTGCCTATTTTGTGCCAAAATGCTTCTAGCCTTCATAGGGTATGCAATCAATTGCTACTTGGCAGATTGCAAGATATGAGTTGACGCAAGAAAGTACAAGATTCTACACATGATGTTAGGAGTTGTGGGGAGGGAGGCGTAAAGAAACAAGGGGATGCTGAAGTTCATCGAATCTCTCTGAAGAAAGTCACATGGAGAGCAAATCTGTCAAAAACCTGATGACAGGAGAGAGCAAATGGCACTTCCTAATGCACTAGGAACTGGGGGTTGCACCATGGCGGGGATACTCTCCTGGACTGCTCAGCTCAACCATTACATGATAGGTGTGTTTAAGCTGAATTACACTCTACAGATGCCTCAAGGTTATAACAAACCTGTCAAAGTCTTCAGTTTATCTTAATAAGCCAGGCTTAAATCAGCACAGTCTAGGTGCCAACTCATAAGCGGATCAGCCAGGCCTGCCTCAGGGATGGGATGAGCATTTGGCAGCAGTAACAGCTTCAGCCATATAATTTTTATCTGTCACCACTAGTCTATCAGAGCTCCAGGCCACCAACTCTTCTTAAGATGAATTCCAGAAGGTTTTAGGCCGGACACAGGCAGATAGGCATGAATACGGAGACGCAACCACCTCGAGAACTTTTAGGTTTGAAATGGAGGCACCTATCAATAGATACGCTATCGTGGTTGGGCAATTAGTAACTGGATGGGCTTCTGTATGACAATTTTGGATCTAGGTGCCGTTCCTAGATAGGCACGCAAGTTCTGGGCCAGGAGACAAAATAACCTTTCCACTTGCCTGAATATATGTGCACTTCATCTGATAATATTCAAATCTCTTTAGCTACATTATAATGAGGTTAAAGCAAGAAAAGATTTCCCCACCCCAAATATTACAAATGTCAGTAATGAGAACAGTAAAAATGTCACCACACGGAGAAAAGAGTGAAATTAGCATATTTAGAGAAGTATTATACCCATGAGTGAAATAATGCAATCAGCTAGCTGCAAGATAAAGCTAATTTGGTTTCCAACAGTTTATCAACAATGCACTGCTCCTTTACATTAACAAATTTAAATGGTACCATATCCTGCAAACAAGAATAATTCACACAGAATATTACACTGTGTTAATTAAATAGCTGGAATAGAAAAGGTCAGGCCATGACTGAAAGATGCACATATGGGTTGTGAAGCTATGAAAAGATGGAGCGATTTCAAATCAAGCAATTAAAATAAATTATTTAAATCATGATTAAGTCAATAGTAAATAACCCTAGATTTTCTGAGCCTATTTTGACAGCTCCTTTCTTTTGTTGCCGTTTCTCAGAAATTTCTCTTTCTTGCTGACCCACGCAAAAGTCAAAGTATCTTTAAACCCATGATAAGATGAGGTGGCTTGGATAAGTTATCAAAGAGTTATCCTGCTTACATTCAAGTTTTCATTTTACTATGCAGGTAGTAAGAGGCAAGTTTTACAGCTAAAGGACACTGCAAAGCCCCACTTGCTTTATTTCTGGATGGGTTTCCTGCCACTAGAACAACCAAGAAACCCCCACAATTACTACAGTTAATTGAAAAATGTTCAGAGAGAGAAATATTTTTTCACTTTGTTTACTTCTGCAAATGACAGCACTTTGTCTTTGGCACAACGCCACCAAATCAATTATATTATAGTAGTAACACAGCCATTGTAAATTGAAAGAACATTTTGGCATGGGTTAAACTATGCTGAGATGGTAATGTATGAAAAAGACCTAGTAAAACAGGGAATTAATCTTACTTGGAGCCCCAAAGCACTACTGGAATATGCATCAGTCATGATCAAATCTGAATCTCGTCCAATATTTTACTGTATTTTAGCCACTACAGTTGTACACGGCAAGCTCAAATTTTAGTTTGTTACTATCCGTATGTCCCCCCGTTATTTAATTGTGCATGAATTTTACTTTTTCCTGGGGAATTTCCCGAACTTTTCTAGACAAAATCTCATTTCCTTTTTGATCATAGGTCTGCTGATTTCAGTTGGTACCAACTTCCTTTTTGCACCTTCAGTGCAGGTTCTGATTTGAACCTCAGTCTAGCAAACAGAGCTGCGCGGGCTGAACAAAATGCAATGTCCGTACGTTTTGGGAAGAATTTCATGGGAGTGTGTGGTTTTGGCTGCAAAACCATGGGATAGGCACCACGTGTGAAATTCAGACGTATGCTGCCCAGCACATCAAGAGTTACGACACTGACACTGGATCTAAAACCAGCCCACGTGGATCCCACTGTTCAGCTCTCCCCAAATAAGCACACAGGCATTTATCAAGCCAACTTCCAGACTTTGTGACAGAATGCCTCAGCAAGCCAAAGTGAAATACCTCATTTCTTCAGGGAAGATGAAGCATTGTGCAGTATACGAGCCATTAATTTTATGACAAGTGCAGATGGTAGATATACAGATAAATACCCACGCAACCTAATGGAATTAATACGTACTTCATCTATTTAAATTATAAGAGTTTCTAATGAGCTCAGTGTAGCCCACACGATGGTATATTCATCCAAACTCTTTTAAAATGGATTTAAGTACAGGCTGTAACCGAATCCTACTATTTCCCCCCCCAATTCGGACCACAACGGGTTTGTATCCACCTCAACGCAAAACAATTTACCTGTCCCTTTAAAAGGACAGATACCCGGGAGAAGCTCAGCTGCATTATTTCCCTGCACGAAGGTACCCACCCTTGCTGAAGGCCCAACCTAGCTCTGCCCTCTGCGACGGCAGCGGCAACGGGCCCACGGGCCCACGCCTGAGAGGGACGTTTCGGAGGAGGAGCTGAAGGAGAGGCATGGAGGCCCCGCCCCCGCCGGCGCTTCGCCCCCCGTTCCCGCCCCGCGCTGCCGGGCCCGGGCCT